AGGGATCCTGYCTGGACATGAGGTGCTGGCCCCCAGAGCCTCCCCGTGCCCTTGGTGGTCCTTGACTTTGCTGCCACCGTGAAGCAAGGCCCTCCATTAAGGCACAGGCCAAGCATGCACAGAGTCCCCCTTTGTCATCCCTCTTAGCACAGCTGAGACCAGCTGGCATTTTCACAAAGGGCTTTACTAAATACTAAGGGAGAACAAAAGGGAAATAATTACAGAAAACATGAAAAACCCAGCCCTGGCTGCCAAGTTCCCAAAGTACAGGTTTCCATTCCTTTGGTGACAACACGTCGCCCCAAAGGCCTGGGACAAGGCTGTGGGCATCTCGCCTGGCTTCCCTTGTTCCCAGCCCTGGTGGCAGGCGCCATCTTGTTTCCCACCCTGGGAACCACTTGGTGGTCATCCATAGGCTCATCTCCCGTTCCCCTTCCCAGCTCTGCCCCACCCCAGGCCTCCCACTGGGTTCTGGTCTCTGGCTACAGGCATGAGCCCTGTCCCCTGGGGGCTGGTGGACTGTGGTGACCAACCAGTACATGATTACACAGTAATGGAAGGTGGTTCYCCCACACTGGCCCTCATCCAGACAGGCCCACCCAAGTTGAAAGGTCTTGAGTATGGTCTAGGAGGGGGTCCTTCTGAAGAGCTGAAGGGCATTTGAGCAAGGAATGGAGAGATATGGGATGTTTTCCATGTGGGAAGAGGAGTCTCTGAGGATTGGTGCATTTCACCACATRCGAAAGAGCTGGAGATACATAGGTGAGCATGAGACACACCATTGCCCTCTTAGATTTTGTACAGTCCCTGAGGCAAACAGATAAGCAATTGGGTAATTGTGATACTAAGGGTCAGATACCATGATGAAGGGTCAATCTCAGTATCACAGGAACCTGGAACAAAGAGAAGGGCTCGGATCTGAGGCCTGGGGGGTCTGCAGGAAAACCCAGCCSAAGAGGCAGGAAGAAAAGGYAGAAGACGTCAAYCAAACATCTCTTTGCTGGTTGGTGACTTTGGGTAACAGTTGGCTATAGAGCATGCCCAACCTATAAAGTGAAAAGRCCCTTGACGCAGAGCTGCCCATGGCTGCTCTCTGCCAGCCAGGAAAGGGAAGGGTTTAGTTCTTAGGCCACTTTTCAGCCACATGGGCCATTCCCAGGCTTGGAGCTCAGGGGCAAGGTCAGAGGTGTGTATTCAGGGCCACTGAGACACCTTACCAGAAGCAGATATCCATTATAGAGAAGGAAAGGTCACAGGAGGGGGAAKAGTTCAGAAGAAGCCACACCAAAATGGGAAAATGAGTCAGGAAGCTGAAAGCCAAGAAATTGGGATGGGTTAGGGCAGGTGTTTCAGACAAAGGCTGTGACTAATACAAGGTGTGGGAAGGAGCCTTGGGAGCCTGGCAGCAGGGCACGCAGACCGGAATCCATGGCTGCTCAGGGGGCAGTTTCCACAGGCCAGCCCTGGTGCTCCCGGGAAAGGTTCGGCTCCTGAGATCAGGGACTCCTCTTTCCACACATGACCATCCAGAGTTTATCAAGCACTCACTCTGCTCTGGCAATAGGTTCTAGACATCAGCCCTGCCCTCAAGGTACTTGTACTCTGGTTGGGAAGAGAGCTCACACTCACTTAAAAGACCTTTGGAGAAAGATCTAGGTTGGATCCCCATTGCTATTCCTTCCTTGGTAGCTAAATGGCTATTGGCAAATTACTTATATTCTCTAGGCCTCCATTTCCCCATCTTCAAAATGGGAATAATTAACAGGCTGGGTGTAGTTCAGTGGTAGAGTGCATGCTTTGTACATGTGAGGCCCTGGGTTTGATTCCCAGAACCAGAAAAAAAAAGTGGGGGGAATAATTAAAACCTGCTTTATGTTGTTGTGGACAGAGTTAAGGAGTTGGTGTGTAAAACACAAGACAARGCATGCTGCTTCACACATAACAGRTACTCAATAAATATCACKTTCTGTTCCTGAAACAASAGCAAAGGRTTGTCACARTGAACACTTAGGTGCTGAATTGTGAAAACTGACTCTGCTATCTTCTTAGCAGGTGGATCCACTCAGAGGACCTCCACTACAGCTGAGCACTGGTCATCCGGAGCACGATGGAGGGAATTAGTGTGTGCACATGCGCGTGTGTGCACGAATCTCACCATCCTATTGTTCCTCTGCAATTGGCCGAAGCATAAACTTCGCTGTTTCTCTTTTGTCCATGTTGTCAAGGACTCCACTCTATAACTGTAGCATTTTCATTTCTCTAATCAGAATCAAAAACTGAATTAKAAATCGGGTCCAAAGTTGGGCATGGTRGCACATGACTGTAATCCCAGCAGCTTGGCTCAGGAGACTGAGGCAGAAGGACTGTGAGTTCAAAGCCAGCCTCAGCAATTTAGTGAGACCCTGTCTCTAAATAACATATAAAAAAAGGACTGGGGGTGTGGCTCAGTGATTGACCACCCCTGGGTTCAATTCCTGGTACCAAAATATAAAATAAATAAATAAATAGAAATCAGGGCTGATGTCTCCCAAGGCTGGTGCCCCAACACCTGGCTAGTCCTCACACAACCCTAGGGAGTAAGCATGTTCTTATTCTCACTTTCTAGTGGAGGAATTAGGCTCAAAAGCGAACATCTTGACTTGAAGTTACATGGTTAGTCAGCAGTGGGACCACAATACAGAGGAGTAGAGATCTGGCACAGGTACCCTGGCCTGGAAGTGAACAAGAATAAACTACTCAAGCCATGAGTCTTCTTGTTTTTTTCTGCCATCTTGCCTACCCTACCTTATTCATCTCAAAACCCAGAAGCTTGGCTTAGTGTCTTTTTAAAATTCTTCTTCTTTTTGTGGAAACAGGGCCTTACACATGCTAGGCAGGTGTTTTACCACTGAGCCCCAGCCCCAGTCCAGAAGCTGGGTGTGGCCTGTGGTCTAGTGTCCAGAGATTGAGGTGCCCTTGTGGGAATCATACACATTTCCTAAAGTATTGAGGCCACACAGGAGTGAAGAAGGAGTGCTTTGGCATTCCCGGCCATCTGTGCCATTCACACAATAGTTAATTTAATGTTGAGGGAATGATGGTACTATATCCCCAGCACCTGGGCAAGAGCTTAGAGCACAGGACTAAAGTAATATGTATCAAATGAATGAATAAATACATAATGCACACCTCTATATAAGCACAGTGACAAGCAAATATGTTCAACACATAAGCACTCAAAATATTTAATATAGACAATCATATACGATACAGATAAATACACACATTAGTGCATAAGACACACACATGAATCCAAATCCCAAAGAGACACAAACACGTGCACACGTATACACAGATGTCATGGGCAAATGCATGATCCACCTCACGGCACAGAGCTTCTCACCTTCATGCACATGCACAGTGACTCTCCCTGATGACCATGGGCCCAGGAATAAATATATCCATCTTAAGAACCCTAGCATGTTGGAGCTCGTCAGAATGCTTTTTGCAGCCCCCACTTAGCTGGCCAGTGACTGGCCCATGGCTCCTGGACCTCCAGGCTTAGAGCTAACTGGGCAGGGAGGCAGTGTCTCTGGCAGCCCCTCGTGGGTGGGCAGGCAAGCAGCAGACAAGAGGTCACTGGGGTGAGACCCAGGATTGCCCTGGCCTCCCTGCTTCTGGCTGAAATGTGAGCTGTAGGGGTCACCTCCCAGGCCCTCTCCTCCCCCACAGTCCCCCACCACCCCCAGGCCTAGCCAACTCATGATTCCAAATCCTGCCAGGTCCTTGTAGCCAGGAAGCTGGGCACAGAGGGCTGTGACAGTGGTAGTGGTAAAGAATCATTGAGGACTAAGGGGGGATAAACACAAATGTCACCAATTTGCATGGTTACATATAGAAACCTGTCCAGGTATTCACAAACAGTGAAGGATGCACATATGCAGAGACATATCAGGCATACAGACTCATAATCCCACAGAAATACATGTTCAGACATATTTCCAAACATCCCTGGACACACACACACACTCACTCATGCATACAGAGATACTCAAAAGACTGAGCCCATACAGAGTGTCCTATTTGGATGGTCGGTGGGCACACCACTGGATGTGTATCTTCACAGTCACACACAAATGCTCATGCACGCGAACAGACACAGACCCAGTCACTACACCCCTCCCTGCTACACGGGAGCATTTCCTCTTCAGCCTGGGACCAGGAGATGCCAGGTTAGACCACTCCACCCCTGCTGGGCTGGCCTAAGTGCGCTCTTCCCCAGGAGGAAGCAGGGCTGGACCCCCAGCCAGGTGCCCTGAGGTGCTTCCTGTGGGCCGCCCACAGCTGGGCTGCCCTGCTGGCTGCGTGGGGGGCTGAGGGTGGTAGACAGGGTGGGGAGACGGTTCTGGAGTCACGTAGCTTGGGTTTTGTCTCTGCTAGTTCTCCGGAAACGCAGGCACGCGCACACGCACACGCACATGCACTTTTCAAGAGTCCAACATTGGCAGGCGGGGCACTCTCACAACCTCGGTTTTTTCGTCTATAAAATGGGATCACTGATCCTTTCACTCCCGAGGACTGTGGGGATGGCGTGACATGGCCACGCAGGGTCAGACCAAGGTGCTGCCTCCTAGGGATGCAGGGCAGCTGTCCCCGAGGGGCAAAGTCCTGAGCCTCGATGGCAGACGTTGGGCGGCGCACCTGGAGGCACCACCCGAGGTGGCCAGCCCAGAGACGCCGGCTGGGTCGTGGCTCTGGGTGGGCTGGTCCGGGGCGGGCTGGGGCCCTGGGGTCTGTGTGGCGATTGCCCCGTCCACTAGCCCAAGGCACGGCGCGCTCCGCTCCGCTCCGCGCCGCCGCCGCCGCCGCCCCGCGGGCCACGCTCTGGGCTTGGCCGCTGCCGGGCCTCCGGCGGGAGGCGCGGTGGGCGGGGTGGCCTGGAGCCCCGCCCCGTGCACAGCCTTGAAACCGCGTCGCCGATCAGCTTCAGTCCCAGAAGAGAGCTGCTGTCTGAGCAGGAAACTGCATCCTCAGACTTCTTCTGCCCAGCCACGAGACGACTTGTGGTCGCATCGTGCCCCCGAGGACCCTCCCAAGGACTTGCCTGCCYCACGCCGCCCCGACCCGCCGGGAGGCTCCTCACCAGGTACCCAGCCACAACCTTACCTGCTGGCTCCTGACTCCCTGAGCTTCCAAAGGATGCTCGGGCCACCAGCGGGGACCTCCGGGCAGCAGTGAGGGGGACATTCAGCCCCTCACTCAACTCTTCTCCTGTGCCAGGAAATCCCCCAGGGGGACTAGCATGGTGATTTTCCCTTGGAGCCCCCTGGCTCAGGACTTCTGAGAAGATGCTAGCCCTGAGGCTGCTCACTTGCTTCCTGCAGCTCCTGGCTGGGCTGGCGCTGCCTGCTGTGCACCCCCAGGTAAGAACAACCCCCATCCCTGGCCTGGCTCTCCTGATATCCCCCTCCCAGCACTGGAAGCAGGGGGCTCTGAAATCACAGACCTGCTCCTTGGAGCAGGACCTCCTAGGATGTACACACATTTCCCAGGGGCCAGGCTGGACCAGTGTCCTCTGGGAAGAGCTCTCAGACTGGGCTGTCCCCAGCTCCAGGGGGCTGTCTTGGTGGGGGCAGGGAAGCCACAGGGAGGAGGGAGGTTTCCTGTCTGGCCCCTGGAGCCCTAGTGGCTTTGCTAAAAGCATCTGTCCACTAATCCCAGGCAGTTCCCTGGCCTTGTGGTCAGGGTCGAGGCCCGGTGACCAGCCAGGCGCCCCCAGGACCTCTGACCTGGCCTGGTGGGGAGGAAGCTGGCTGAAGAGACTGTTGGTGGGGAGGAAAGGCCCTGCCCCCACAAGGGCTCAGGGGTGAGCTGGGGATGAGACAAGGGGTCCTGTGATGCCCTCTCCTCTGGGTGGGTGGCTGGAGGTCCTGAGTGCAGGGCCTGGGGAAGTGAGCAGGGCCCTTTTCCCAGGAGCTGGGTGAGTTTGGCTGGGAGCCAGCTTGGGCAGTGAAATCCTGACAAAGCCAATGAGCTCCCTTCCCACTGCACTGCCCTGCTGCCCTGGGAGTCCCCAGCGCAGCCCAGGAGTTGGTGGACTGGACAGTCCCCTGCCGAGCAGCCCAGCCACCAGCCTGCCTGCTGCAGGGCTGGCCAGAGGTGTAACGTTACCGGCAGCACCAGCTCATGGCGCCGCCTGCTCCAGCCCCTCAGCTCCCCACCAGCTGATCACCTCCCCCTGGGCTCTGGCACCCAGCCAAGGCGGGCTGTACAGGGCCCAGCAGGGCTGGCCTGGGGGCTGGGTAGAAGGGAGACCCCACAGGATCATAAGATCTTTGGGACACAGGAGGCCTCCAGAGGCCTCCAGCCTCCCATCCTTTTCCAAATGAGGAAACTGAGGCCAGAGAGAGGTGGGACTTACCTAGGGTCTAATTGGTTTTAGTCACGTGTAGAAAGAGGCAGCTCTGAGACAGGGCAGAGTGTGTGCAGAGGGTGGAGAAGAGTTCTGGGGGCCTCTACCTTCCTGCCATCATGTGGGTCCCAGAACGCAGAGCCCCAAGGTGACCTCCGTCATTTCTGCACCTTTCTGTCCACAGCAGCGGGCCCTGTCTGCTGAGACCAGCTCATCAGAGGTGGAAGGTAAGCAACCAGGCTGGGGTCCATGTGCTCAGCCCCTCTCCTTCCTCCCAAGCCCCAGCAGAGGATGGGATGGGATTGGCATGCAGAGTTGGGTACTGGCTGGAAATAAGTTGGGAGAGTCTATAAGCTACTGCTGATGAAGTTGGCAGGACCTGAGCAGTCTACCCATTGAGACCCAGCAGCATGGAGAGATGTAGCAGCTCTGGGCCAGAGTCACCCCACTCTTGGGCTGGCTAGGAGGTTCCTAGCTTGGGGTGAGGGTGCAGTCAGGGTCTTGGAGGGTGGGGTAGGCAGTGAGTGCCAGGGGCCAGACTGGGGGTCTGGGAGCAGGATGCAGTGGGCAAGCAAGCAAGAGGACCGGGTGGGGTAAAAGGCCTCCCCACAGCCCAACCCTGGTGGAGCTGCAGGGATCTGACCAGGCCTTTCCATTGATTACAAACAGACAGAACATGAGTCGCGCCCTCCCTGGCCCCAACACTCCCCGCCCCGGGTTGCATCAAGAGGGAATCTTCAAAGGGCAAGGAGACATTTGCCAAAGAGACATACGTGCAGAAGACAAGAGGCCCATGCCATGCCAGGCCCCCTGCCTTTCTCCTCCCTTCCTGCCTCTCCAAGACGTGCAGAGTGGCCACACACCACTGCTGAGGCTTCCCACCATGCTGTGGGAGGGGGGCGTGTAGAGACGTGCACACCACACACTCGTGTGATAGCCGTCCATGGGCTGGGACACCCTCTGTTGGCTTGCCCGCCCGGCTACTTGACTGCCAACCCAGCAGCCAGATTCTCTCACGCTGATGCCTGAGACCCACATCCCTTGGCCACTGAGCAGGGGCGAGTTAGCTATCCTTGGCTTCAGTGACACCCCTTGCTATGCCCTCTGGAACTGCCTTAATATTATGCTCTCTGGGATTTGGGGAGGGACCAAACCCCAACCCCCCAACTCTAYACCATGTTCATTTTGATGCTTTGAGTGCAGTTTTGGCAACAGGTGCCAAAGATGTCTGAGCTTCAGTTTCCTCATCTGCAAAATGGGAGCATTCAACTACATGATACTGAAGGTTCTTTCTTTTTCTAAGACTATAGGATTCTCTGACTCATGGAAGATACACAAAGATATACACCAGGATGTTGGGTGAGGAGGTTTGAGAGCATCGATTCATATAGGTCAGCTCAGCTGTCATTCTAATCCATCAGGGAGCTTGTATTGTGGCCAGGGAAGCACAGTGAGCTTTGGGCTCCAGTGTTCAAAACTGAAAATGACATCTCTTCCTGCTAACACCGGAGCAAGAAGATAGCATGGTGTGGCCATGGCCATTGATTTTTCATTCTTCATGGGCATTTACTATCATGTCGTTTGACCACGGGGCTGTGAACTAAGAAAATATTCACATTATCCACACTTTACAGATGAAGAAYCTGGAGTTCAGAGAGGTCCTTAGGATCGCCTAAGCCTCAGGCACTTTGCAGTGTATCTGGCAGAACCTGCCACCAGGYCCTCCCCACTGCTGGGTAGCTGAGCAGGCACAATCAGGGTGTCCCTTGTGGCTGGCTGGCTGTGTGCCCCATTAGTGAGGAGGACACCTGCTGGGCTCCGGCTGGTGGCCAGCGGCTCTGCCCAGCCCAGCAGCCCCTCCCCAGTGGCTTCTCCAGAAGCTTGTTCTCAGGATTAAACATGTCCCCTTCCTGGGTGTCCTCTATTCTCCATAAAATAGAAAGTTAGGAACAGATGGAGACGCACCCACAGGGCTGGAGAGAGCTGAGCGCCCAGGAGTGGCTGCAGGAGTAGCCTCCTTGGGGGAACACCCAGCCCTGGCCAGGTGCCTGAGGGGGCCTCAGCCTCCCCTTCCTCTCACCCCACCCCCACCCCAACCCCTGACAGACCAGGGGCCAGCAGAAGCCCTCCCTGGAGCACCCCAGTGGAGCTCCCTCCTGAGGGGCTCGGCCCACACGTGAGAGCGGCCACCGCGCCCCCTCAGCTGGCCCCTCAGCCAGTCCAGTGTTGTTCCTCCTTCACACCCAGACAGGGGCCTCCAGAGATGAGCTACTCTTTCTCGGTAGCTTCCAGGTAAACCAGGCCCCTCTCCTCTGCCTTCTCCACCCTTACCCAACAGTCTCCCTTCCTGGGCCAGAAAGTGACAGATTTCAGGCTCTCAGAGCCCTGGAGCCTGGGCGCTGTGGATGCAGAGCCCTACGATGGGTGTGGGGTGGAGGAGAGGAAATCCCTTCCTCTGCAGCCTGGCCCAGCCGGCTCTGCTCAACCTGGCCGTGGCCTCTAGAGCCCGGCTGGGCGGGAATTTATTTATGGATGACAGGGGGCTGGGGTGCTCCCTTCTCTGCTCTTGTCCCCCTCCCTCATGGCTGGTCCCAGAACAGGAAACCCAGCCTTCTGCTGTGCTTGGGCCCTGACTATCCCTCTGCTCTTATTTATGTTTCCACGGCAGAGATTAAATGTTCAGAGTCGCGTAGTGCTCACGAAGGTTCTAGACTAAACATACAGCTCATGGAGCTGGCGATAGGAAGGTGCTCTCTGACCCTGTACTGTGGAGGCAGGCTCCCCCTGGGCTGCAGGGTGCCTATGGGGAAAGAGGACTTGTTTCCCTCTTGGGCCCAGGGGGAGTGTCCAGTAGCCTGGAGAGGGAGTGTCAGGGGATYCCCCTCCAGCCCTGGTCCAGCCCAAGTGCCCCCTGGGCTGAGCAGGGAAAGATGGAGCAGCCCACACTCCAGTGAGCCGGGTCTGCTGCGCGGTGGCGGCCCCGCCATCTCCATGTGGCCGAGTACTGGCTCTGGGTACTTTCCACCAGCTCCCAGCCTTTCTCAAGGGCCTCTACTGTGACTGAAGTTTATTTTTCTTCTGAGATTGCCCTGAGACTCAGGTCCTCATAGGCTCAGGGGAATGGACTTTGGCCCCATCTGCCTCCTGGGAAAAGCCATGGGAGGAAGTGAGGGGCTGCTGGGAGAGGCCCTTGCTCTATGCCAAGGCTGCAAGGCTCCCAGGTGACCCAGCTCCCTGCCCTCCTCCAGCAGCTGAGGATGACCATCAGATGTGGAGCAGGATGACCCGGGCCCAGGGATGTTTCTGTGCCCACATTCTCAAGGCTAGGCCGGGCTGGGTGGCACGAACTGAATCACAGTCTGTCAGAGTGAGGGAGACCATAGCAACCACCTCTTCCCAACCTTCTTTTTCCCTAGCCGAGGAAACTGATATGCCCAGAAAGGTTAAGTGACCTCCCCAAGGTCACACAGTCAGTATAAAGCCAGGACTAGAAACTGGATGTCCTGGCTCTGTCCACTCCCAGGGAACCTCTATTTGGGTCCTGGCACCAGACCTTCCCTTAAAGGAGTAGTGTCTTTTGAGAGATTCCAGACCAGTCCCCCAAAGATCCCACTTACCACAACCAGGACAGTTCAGGGTTCAGGGATGCCCCGGTAATCCTCAATGAACTGTCATCTAATCTGTCAGGAGTCACTTAGCCTGTGTTTACCAGCCCTCTGCCTCACTCCCGACTTCCCAGAGCCTCAGTTGGGCTGTAAAGGAGATAAGAGCCACCAATGATAAGAGAGAGGAGGAGAAGCCTGGGGCCAAGCTGTGCTCTGTGGAGGAGCCTAGAGAATCTCTGGGGAAGGCTGGGAGGAGGTGGGAAGGGGACCCTGGGAAGCAGGGGCGGGGCTTTCCTTGGGAAGAAGTGGAAGGGTGGGCCCAGGGTGGAGCTCAGCAGTAGAGCACTTGGCTGGCCCGCCTGGGGCTTCATCCCCAGCCTCGCAAAGAAAAAAAGTAAAACAAGAAAAGAAGGAAAAGAACATCACCCTCCTCCTGCAGCACACAGCACAAAAGCCCTGGCTCAGTGTGCTGGCTCTGGCTCCGAGCGGAGAGAAGGCTGGGCCACATTGCTCCATGTGGTCTTGGTTGCCGGCAGAGGAGCTGGCACTGTGTGGGGCGGGACACGAGGGAGCCATGGTAGGCTTCTGGGCAGAGGACTAAGGGGAAGGCCAACCCTCCCTGCAGGACTCCAGAATGGTTTTCAGCACGTTCCCCACGATGGGAGGAAGTACCAGGTCAGGCCTGAGAAGGGTCAGAGGACTTGGGGAGCTGCCAGGCACAGTCCTCAAAGCTCCAAGGAACCAAGACCTGCATGGCTACCTGAGCAGAGAACAGAGCTGAGAGCTCAGGATTAAGAGATTCTGTTCTGCTGGGATCTGTACCCAGAAGAAGAGCCAAGGGTCCAGCAGGCATCCCAAAGGGATCCTGTCAGAAGCTCCGAAGAACAGAGGTGGCTCAGATGGGACTCAGGGCTGAGGGAGAAGGACACAAGGGCTACCCTGGGAGCCAGGCCTCGGCTTCAGGGAGCCACCTGCTGGCCTGACCCACCCTCCTGCCTTTGTAGTGATACCCTTCCATGAGGTGTGGGGCCGCAGCTACTGCCGGGCCCTGGAGAAGCTGGTGGACATTGTGACCGAGTACCCTAGTGAGATGGAGTACATACTGAGCCCGTCCTGTGTCTCCCTGAAGCGCTGCACTGGCTGCTGTGGGGACGAGGACCTGCACTGTCTGCCCGTGGAGACAACCAACGTCACCATGCAGGTAGGGGGCCCTCTTCATGTGCTCCATGGCCAGCCCCTACCCAGGAACATGCCCACTAGAAAAGATGTGGAGAGAGGAGGAGGCGGGCCAAGGCCCTGGCCAGGGACCCTAGATCCCTTCCCCAGCACGGGGTGCTCCTTCCTGAGCCCGGCTCAGCTCGCGGCCACTCAGCTGCACCCTCACCAGGCATTTTTGCCTTTTTCTTCCTACAGATCCTGAAGATCCCCCCGGAGGGTCCACCCTCCTATGTGGAGCTGCAATTCTCTCAGCACATGAGCTGCGAGTGCAGGTAGGTCCTGGGGTAGACCTCGGGGACAGGGTCCAGGCAGAGGTGGAGCTGCGGGCCCTGYGGCAGGCAGCACTTGCTTCCCTGCTTAATGGAGCCCGGGCAGCTGCCTTTCATTCTCTAACCCCACCAGCCATTTTGGCCTGGGGAGCTGATCCCAGCAGCTGGAGTACAGCTGCTGAGATGCCACAGGGGAAGGGGAAGCCTGGGTCCCTCCCAGACTTGCAGGGGCTTAGCGCACGTTGTTCCCCTCCTCTGAGATGGGAGGCAGCTGCCACAGGCCCCTGGAGGCAAAGGCATCGCAAGGCTGGGCTTGGTTCTGGGCCAGGTTGCATGCATGCCCACGGGAGGGGGCGACTGCGCTGAGAAGCAGAAGGAAGGACGAACTCTGGTGGGAGCAGAGGGGCGGGAGAAAGGACGCGCTGAGGTTTCTTTAAAGTTGAAGCCCCTGCCACCTCACCCTCGTCCAACCCGCTAAGGCTGGGCCAGCACCTGCCTTGCTGCCTGGGTCCCAAGCACTAGGAACAGCAGGAGCAGCAGGCCTGGTACTGACATCCAGGTCCAGAAAGAGCGAGACAGGCTGAGGTGCTGCTCTAGGTACCACTAGGCCATGGGGCGAGGCACTGGACTGGCCAGGCCTAGAGCCCCAGTGTGGGGTAGGAAGAGGCAGAGGACAAGCTTTTATCATGCACCTACTGTGCCCAGCCCCAGATGAGGCATTCGATTGTGTTTTCTCATTTACTCACATATGTTTATTACGTGCATACTGTATGCCAGGCACTGGCCTAGATGCTTGGGATACAGTGACCAGCAAGGCAGACAAGGTCCTTGCTCTTGTGGCTGCCCTGTCCCCACTGTATAGGTGAGGAAACCYAGGCAGATGCAGCTAGTGAATGTGGAGGAGGGATTTGGATTTGAACTCTGGCCTGTCTGATCTTAGGCCTCCCCTTTTCATGCTGCCTCTCTTGGTCATCACCACATTCTCCCATAGCCCCAGGACCACTTAGGCTCAGCCCTGCCTGGTGCCTGGGGCTCTGTCTACCCCCTTTGAACCTGAGCCCAGACTCCAGGCCCTCTTCACCATGTCAGCATTGGGGGCCCTGTTTCTGCTCAGCCAGCTGTACAAGCAAAAGCTCAGTCACGAACCCTCCTGGGTACAGTGCTGTACAGTGCTGTACAGTGCCCGTCACCTTCTACATTACCTTTGCCTTTGCACCACTCTTGTGGCACGAGCAGATGAGGAAAGTGAGGTTTCTAGAGTGTCTCTGACTTGCCCTATATGGAGAGCAGGCATTCCCAAGGCAGGAGCAGCCCAGGGCAGAATTCCCTCCCTGCCCACAGCCCAGAACTGACTGTTACCCTGCTGCTCCCTTCCCTCCCCCCACTGTTCCCAGAGAAGACTGAGGCCCCATCCCCTTCCAACAGGCCTGGCAACAGGAACACCTTTCTTCTCTCTTCTGGGCCAACAGCCACATCCCCGGGAGGCAGAGCTGGGACATGCCTGGTGACCATGCAGCTTGTGTTCACCTCCCGTCACCACCCTCACCCACTGCCCCTGGTGTTGCCAGGGAGGGGTGGGGGTTGTGCCCTGACAGGCAGCCTTGGCWGGCAGCAGTCATCGCCCCTGTCCATGGTTTCGTCCATCAATTACCATCCTTGAGGAAATTCCCAGAATGCACCCTGGAAGGAAGGGGAGGAAGTGAGGAAGCAGAGAGTAGACTCAAAAGACCCCAGATTTGATGCCAAGAGGCTGAGGCATGCAGATGAGGAGCCCTAAGGGGGGATTTGTACCTCTCTTGGGGGCAGTCACCAGAGCCTAGGGTAGGAACCCCAGCCCAGAGGCCTCTGGCCATCTCTCCCTCACCAGCTCCATGCTTCCACCTAGTGGCCACATTGCCAAGTGCAGAACCAACCCCAGGGAAATCTGAGGGGAGGTGGTGGGATGGCAGGGGGGCCCCATTACTGCTCCCCTGATTCCCCTCTCCCCTCTCTCTGTTTCCCTAGACCTCTGCGGGAGAAGATGAAGCCAGAAAGGTGAGTGGCAAGAGGCTGGGGCGTGGGGCTATTCTCCGACCTGCCAGCCCCTGTCCTAGCATGAGGGCCCCAGACGCTTTGTCCTGATGCTTTTGGCTTATTGCAGGAGGAGACTCAAGGGCAGGGGGAAGAGGAAGAAAGAGAAGCAGAGATCCACAGACTGCCATCAGTGAGTGAGTGGGAGCCCAGGGATGGCAAGGAGGCTGGGCCCAATGGGGGGCCTCTCCCTGCTGGCAGGGGTCAGTGGTCCGCCTGAGGACAGACAAGGTTCAGGGACTCTTAGGGACCAGAATAAGGGCTGCACCTCCCTCAGGCCCAGAAAGCATCAGGGTCCCTCTGTTCTTGCCTTGGCTTAGCCCCTCATCTCTGTGAGATCTTGAACAAATCACGTCACCTTTCTGAGCCTAGTTTTTCTCTTCCTAAATTGATGGGGCAGGAAGTATGCCAAGCGCTGGGTCATTTGACAAAGACTTACCAAGCACTTCCTGCGTGCCAGACCCATCARCCAGCGAACAAGGGCTTAGGGCATTTACATTCAAATGACACAAAGTTGGCGAGGGCTGCTCCTCACAGCCCTGGAGAGGTGCAGCCCCTCCTGGCTCCCAGGTGTGTTTCTACTCTAGGGTCCCTTTGCTTCCTCTTCCCCTCTCCATGTCCCCTGCCTATTTTGGCTTCACATTGGGGACAGCAGCTGGAGTCCCAGAGTTGAGTGTGGCTGGGAGAGAAGGATTAGAGAAGGGAATACCTAAATTTGTGAGAATAAATGGTAAAAATAAAATATTGTACATGCACAGTAAACCAGGGTTTCCCTTCAGGGCCTAGGTCTGCTTCTAGCTGCATGACAGGAAACCATTTCACGCTGTAGGAGTGGAGCTTACCCAAGTCCTGACCCCAGAAGCCAGGTCCTTCAAGAGTGGAGATCTCTACCCCATCTGGGAAGACAGGGATTTGGCAAAGGCCCCCTAAGGCTTATGGCCCTCATTTCTACCTTGAGCCCGCACAGCCATTAGGGCAGAAACTGGCAGCGAAATCAAGTGAGCCAGGCAGCCCGAGGTACAGAGTGTCCCATCACGCCATCTCCCAGCCATCAGTCGTCAAACATTTCATTAGGGCATTTTCTGAAAGAATTTCCAGAACTCATGGACTTTCTTGCTCTCTGTGGTTTGACCCTTTCTCATCATAATTACAAACAGTTGCAAAAGTATATAATTTCTGGCACATTGTAAATAATAATATTTTAGTGTAAAACTATTGTAAGAGTGAGTCTATTACTCACTCCTCAGATATATAAYTCACTCTTCAGATATATCCTATTGAATATGCTATCCTCATGTAATCCTCMTCATCATCCAATTTTTAAAAAATGAACAGCAAAAAAATATATGCATAACCTCCCTTAATATTTCATTACGTATAACATTACTTCTATTTGCCTGGGACTTTGCATTTATGTTTTTGTTTTTGGTACTGGGGATTGAACCCAGGGGTGCTCAACCATGGAGCCACATCCCCAGCCTTTTTTTGAATTTTATTTAGAGACAGGGTCTCACTGAGTTGCTTAGGGCCTCACTAAGGTGAGGCTGGCTTTGAACTTGCAATCCTCATGCCTCAGCTTYCCAAGCTGCTGAGTTTATGGCTCAAGAGTGAAACAGCTCATTTCTGTTTCACTTCCCCTACAGAATTGCTGCCTAATATAATATTACTTTTAATGCTCAAAAGTCTTTTATTGGGCTGGGGGTTTAGCTCAGTGATAGAGAGCTTGCCTAGCATATACAGAGTGCTGTGTCTGATACCCATACTGCAAAAAGAAAAAGAAAAAATTATTTACCACCTTGTTAGATTTGGCTGCCACAAAAAGGTATATAAGTCCAAACTATTTTTAATATCCTGTGAGCATGAAACCAAATTAAATTTTCTCCTGGAATAAATTATTGAAATAATTATTGGTAGTACCACTTGACCAAAACAGCACAAATACATCATACTTTAATAAATGTAAAGCCTAAAAGTACAATCCATCTTATTGGGGATGCATCTCAATGAGATGGATGTGGCTGCCTCTTTTCAATTAGTTAATGACTCTGTTGATGAATGTTACCTCCTGCCAGACTGAGACGGGATTCAGCATAAATTGCATTTCTGTTTATCATTTTTTGTAGATGAAAAGGTTGAGGAATCAAACTCAGAAATAAGTAAATGGGACTGGATGCCACTCAATTACTTGAACTCTTTCCAAGTTATTTGCCAAAATCCTCAGGGTGATCTGCTAACAAAAATCACTTCTGATGATATATCGGCTGACAGCTAGCTTAGGTTGCTCTTCAACTCTGTTCAAAAATGTAGAAATAGCCTAACTCCGCCGGGCTCGGTGGTGCGTGCCTGTAATCCCAGCAGTTTGGGAGGCTGAGGTAGAATGATCGTGAATTCAAAGCCCRTCTCAGCGATTCAGTGAGGCCCTAAGCAAATCAGTGAGACCCTGTCTCTAAATAAAATATTTWAAAAGGGGCTGGGGATGTGGCTCAGTGGTTAAGTRCCCCTRAATTCAATCYCCTGTACCAAAAAAGAAAAGAAATSGCCTCACTTGCCAAGGACTCGGTGACCCAGTCCTTTGATGTATTTCTGGTCTCAACACCTACACCAATATTCAAGTTGTCCTTCCATTTCGTGTCCTCAGAACACTTTCACCTTGCTGCAGAGCACTTTCACAGGATTTAGAAAGGACCAGATGAATCCCTTCCTTTCTACAGGGAGAGGGGTAATGAAGCAGACCTCAGTCACTTTTTCACACAACCAATCTTAAGGCCATATACCCACAAAGGCTGAAAACTGATTTCTTTAAAATCATCATTTCTCAGGCTTCACCATCATCTAAAGGCACCTGTTCCCCTATTTGGAGACTGCTGTCTTAGGGTAGTGAGAGGTGTTCTTACATGAAGTCAGACTGAGTTCACATGTGACTTTGACCCTGACTAGCTGTGTGATCTTGGGCATTTCTTGACCTCTCTGGGTCTCTCAGATGTGAAACTAGGTTCCTTTAGTTCCCTGCAGATGAGGGAACATCCTCCCACCAGGAAGGCAGTTCTTCAGACCTTCCTCCTGGGATGTTGTGACAGGCTGGGCACGAGGCTTGGGCACCTGGGTGAGTGTTCAGTGAAGGGTGTGGCCCRCAGCTGCTTGATGGCCTTTGTGTCAGCAGGGTCCCAGGAGCACTGCATCCTCCCTGTGCACCCTGCCCAAGCTTCCCCTCCGCGTCCACCTCCCACCCTCCACAGTGTGCTGACACCCCTGCCTGTCTGTGTTTGGTCTTGGCAGGTGCAGTGACACTGTTCCTCGGACGTAACCACCCCTCGGAGGAGCGAGACCCCACCCCCAGCTCGTGTATTTATTACTGTCACACTCCTGGTGACCTCCCTGCTGGTACCTGTCCTCTATTTATTAGCCAACTGCATCCCTGTTGAATGACCCCTCCCTCCAGGACAAGAGGAATGGAGGGAAAGGACCCTCAGGAATTCAGTGCCTTAAACAGAACGTGAGAGAAAGAAGGAAGCCGGACACGGACCTGTGGGAGCTTCGGCTTGGGAAGAAGCCAGACCTGTGGCCTTGCAAGAGGCAGGCCAGGCCCCAGAGGGGACCCAGAATCTGTTCCTGGGCCCAGCGCTCTGCACAGGGAGCCCAGCTCCTGGCCGAGGGCAGGGGTACAGGCGCGTGCTCAGCCACCACGGCCCAGGCTGGGTGGGAAGGAGGAGGGTGGGTGGGAGGGATCCAGACGGGTCCTCCTCTTCCTGACAGCGGCTCTTCACCCTGGAGACCAGGATGTTCAGTGCTGGAGAACGGCGCTTGCCTGGGGGCTTTTGCCACTCCTGTCCTCTAAGGTCACGCCCTCCCACTTTGCCACCTGCTTATTTTGGGAACATTGTTCTTTCTAGCCAGGGCACCACCACTCTGCCCCCCGTCTCAGGGACTTAGGCTGAGTGGGCCCCAGGCTGGACAGCGAGCAGGCTGGACCAGGAGGAGCCCAGCAAAATGGGGATGAGGTCACCGGGAGAGAGGCCCTTGTGTCTTAGCCCAGTGGCTGCGGAAAGTGGAGCAGATTCCCCGAGGGCCCTGTGCCCCACCAGCTGCCCCGCAGGGCCGTCTGACTGCCAAGCCAGATTCTCTTGAATAAAGCATTCTAGTCGGGAAGCAGCCTGTCCAGGGTCGTGTGTGCTGGAGCAGTGGGCAGGAGCGGAAAACGGGCAGAGCRCAAGGCCACCTCGGAGCTTCAGTTTCCCATCTGAGAAAACCTGCCCAGGTTGCAGCACAGCAAGGTGGCGTTCTCCTGCCTCCTTCCTTTGACAGTAGAGAAGCGGAGGCCCAAGAAGTTGAAATGACAGATGGAGCCAGAGGACATCGAACTGGGTGGGACTCAGAGGCCAGGAGCACGTCTCCAACTCAGCAAGTGACCCTGGGTGTCCTTCTACCTTCCTTTTTCATCTCTAACACAAGGGCCTTCGCTAGATGGTCCTCCCACTTGGACACATTCTCACAGGGCCCAGGCTCCAGTCTCTGTGTCCTGGGTCATCATGGAGGCCTTTTCTATATAGGCTATTCCAGGGCTGCCCTGGGGCTTGCTCAGGCCCACTCCCACAGCACCCTAGGTCCACACCTTCCCCCAACAAGGGGCTCCCAGATGTAGTCTTACCCCAAAGTTGGGGAGAGGCCTGGCCCTAGCCACCTCTGAACACCATAAAATTCAATGGTCCCCTTCTGCCCCAGAGCCACCCTACCCCACCCAGCGCGGGGCCTGGCCCTCTAGACCCYGGGTGAATGGAGCTCCCAGACTCCTCAGGCTGCAGGGACACCTCCTGACCTGGACCCCAGGGCACTRAACTGCAGTATCTCCACCTGCTCAGGCTGCTAGAAGCAGGGGTTTTCTGCCAATTTCTTCTTCCTTTACTTCCCAATTTCCTCCGCCTACCTCCTTAGTACCTTGGCATGAAAAAATGTTCCCTTCTATTTTTGAGTCCAAATACTTACTGTTGGACTCCCATGTACTTCTGACCCTCAAGTTGTATGTGTCCTTTTATGTCAKGGGTATTGGTAGAAGGGGGTTCCCCGTTCTCTCCTTGGCCCCAGTTCCTCATTTGAGTCTGAAACACATAGGACCCGCCTCCGACTTTGGAGAGGGGCCATGAAGGGCCTGGCAGGGTGGAGCGACCTCCTCAGGCCCTTGGCGGTCTGTTCACTGCGGCCTGGGCCTCTCAAGGACACTCTGGTCTGAATTTGCTCCTGGCTGGTGATCACAGGGAGGGTGTGGGTCAGCCCCAGGGGACACTCTTAGCAGAAGAAATGCACTTTCCTGCTGCTCTACGCTTTGTCTGCAGCTGCTCTGTTGCCTTTGACCGACTGAGAGTAGCCCTCCCCTTGGCCAGGCCTCCAACTCAGCTCGGAGGACCCTGGCCCTGCCCTGGGCATCATCAAGACTTTCAGCTCCCTGAGGTCTCTCACACAGAGGGCAGCCTCCTGTAAAGACCTAGACAAACCAGGGCGGCTCCCRGAGATCAGGAGCAAAATCCCACATCCTTGGCCAGGAGCCTTGCAGCAGGAACAAGTAGGAGAGGAACTGAAAGGAACTGGCGGGTCCACTCAACCACATTGTCAGTCCATTCAGATCAATGGGTCCTAAAGGAAAAGGATCTTTTTATTTGTTTGACACCCATTAGGGAGCCTCCCCCTGGGTTACAGACACCATCCCAGGCACTGAGGTGCCAGTGTGRAATCAAATGCATAAGGATTAGTTCTCACAGTCACATTCCAGTGGAGAGACAGACCCCAAGTGGGCGTTAGAGGGTATGAGGTGGCTCTTGGCTCTTTAAATGCTTAAGCTGGTGACTAGACTCAGAGCTAAGGAAGAAGGGGCTTTTGAGCACCTCCTTTTTWAACCCCCAATGCTGGGGATTGAACCCAGGTCTTTGTGTGTTCTCAGCAAGCAGCTCTACCACGGAGCTACATCCCCAGCCCTGAGGACCACAAATTCTAAAACAAAGAAATGATTTGGGGCTGGACATATTTGCCCGTGGGATTTGTTAAGAGAGGGCTGAAGTCATTCTGTGACATGTAGACACCACCCAGCTCTCCTTCCTCGGCTCTATAAGCAGCAACCCAGGAAGGGGAAGGGGGGGAGACAAGGTCGCTGGAGTCCTGGGGTACAGCCCTTTTCCCTCCTGTCCCTGGGGCTGGAATTTCCCATGTGCCATCTGAATGGGGAGTCAGGGTTGTACAGAATGGAAGAGGGACGGAGAGGGAACCTTTTGGGGCAGCCAGCAGGAGTCTCCTGTAGGGCAGATGAACATGACAGAATGTCCTTGGGCTGTTTGGCCCATGTTCTCCTGAGAAGGAGGCCTGTGGGGTACAGCGGAATGAGGGTGTCAGGGAGCTGGAAGTGATCTCCCACATCAGGGGACGGTGGTGCAGCGTGGGCCCACAGAGGGTTGGCCTCCTCCTCGTCATGCAGGTGCATGCATAGCCAGAGAAGAAACGGCATAGCTGAGAAGGACTTCCCCCATCCCCGCTGCCCTCTCCTGCGTTGTGTGTGAAAGAAGAGAAAGGGACTGAGAAAAAGGCAGGAGGGGTACAGGGGCAGGACACACCCCTCGTGGAGCCCCTGCACCAAATCCAGGCCCTGCCTGGGGCAGGAAAAGGATCTTAAACTGGATGGACCAGCTTAGGAGAGGCTGGTCATTTCAATAAATTCAAGTGTCAAGGACATTAGAAGTTTTGCCCAAAATTCTTTAAGGAACAGAAAAAGGAGCAACAACACAGTTCACCTAGAAGCAATGATGGGAGATAAACAACACAAAATAAAAAACAAGTTTGTATCCTACTGTTTACTCAATAAGCAGGTCACCCATGTGAAATGAATTAACAAGAAAATACCCTGTTGCCAAAGTGTGGTTATGGCATATTAGGGATGGAYGTGACACTTTGGTCCAGAGGTGATCTCTCTGTTCCCTCTCTTTGCATCCAGGATGGCCTGGTCCCTTTGAAATGATTCCAATCCTAGCTTTCAAGAGCACTGGTGCACCGGGTATGGTGGCACATGCCTATAATTCCAGCGATTTGGAAGGCTCAGGAAGGAGGTCACAAATTTGAGGTCAGTCTCAGCAATTTAGCAAGGCTCTCAGCAACTTAGTGAGATCCTGTCTCAAAATAAAAAGTAAAAAAATAAAATAAAATAAAAAGGCTGAGGATATAGCTCAATGTAAAGTGTCCCTGGATTAAATCCCCAGTGGGGAGAGAGAGAGAGAGAGAGAGAGAAACACTGGCAATTCTGCTATGGTCTCTTGAAACATAGCTCTGTATGAAGTCAACCACCAGCTGAGTTTGCCATGTTGGAAGGAAGCTCAAGTTGACCATATGGAGATGGGGAGAAGAGGACAAATGCTCAGTCATTGTGGCCATCTCAGCTGAGATCCCAGACCTCACAGAGCAAAGCTGAGTGGTTCCCCCTGAGTTCTGATGGATTTCCTAACCCACAGAATGATGGGATACTATATCAAATCGTATTGAGGCAGGTTGTCATGCAATAATAGGTAACCAGAACAGAAAAACAGGGAAGGTGAAGAGACAGCATTCAGGGGAGGGTACTGTATACCTCCATCTCTCTGTGGAGGTGACACTTCTGACATGACATTATAGTCATGTGATGATCAGGATAAGAGTCATCCAAACAGAGAGCACTGCTGATGTAAAGGCCCAGAAGGGATCTCCGTGTGGCTGGCACAGGATGAGTGAGGGAGGAAGGGATATGAGCTGTGTCGAGTTTGCTGAAATATGAAGGGAAACCACTTGAAGTTCTCCAGCAGGAGAACAAAGTGACATTAAGTACATTTTGGTTGCCGGAAGAGTACTGGGGATTTAATCCAGAGGCGTTCAACCCCTGAGCCACATCCCGAGCCCTTTTATTTTTTATTTTGAGACAGGCTTTCTCTAAGCTGCTTAGGGCCTCACTACATTGCTGAGGCTGGTCTCAAACTTGCCATCCTCCTGCCTCAGCTTCTGGAGTCTCTTGGATTACAGGCATATGCTACTGCACCCAGTGACATTAGGTACATTTTTAAARGATCACTGTGTCCACTATGTGGATAATGATCTCTAAGGACAGGACACAAGAACGGAGGTACAAATATCACTTAGAAGGCTGTGACAAATCCAAGCAACCAATTATGGTGGATTGTTCTAGGAAGAAGGACCAGGGATAGAGAAAAGTAGGGAATTCAGTGCATAGACTGGTTACTCTGACCATTCATCCAYCCAGGAGTATTTTTCAAGTCTTCTAAGTCTAGGTATTTTGTAGTGGATATGTGTGTAAAGGGACAAAATAGATTAAAATCCAGAAGTCTTCCAGMCTTCCCCAAAGAAAAGTCTATTCTGCAAGAAGTAAAGAGGTCGTAGCTGAGAGGCTGTTGATCGACCTAAGAACTAGGAGAGAGGCCAGTGGGGAGAGGGAAATAAACAAAAGTCTGGAACTAGAGAAGGAGTCAGGGATTTTGCTGCGGAGCCTATGATAAGGTAATATGGGGAGTGCCAGGCACGGTGGCCCACACCTGTAATCCCAGCTCTTGGGAGGCGGAGGCAGGAGGATCGTTGAGTTCAAAGCAGCCTCAGCGAGTTAGCAAGACTCTAAACAACTTGGCAAGATCTGTCTCAAAATAAAAAATAAAAAGGAGCTGGG